ATATACATAGAGAAATGTTTGCCCAAGAGATACAAGGCACTAAAATAGAGAAAAAAGAGGATTTGATTAAAGAGGAAAGCATTGTCACCCCCCAAGCTCAAACCATAGAGCCAATATCACACCCACAATCAAAGCCAAAGATCAAGAAGTAGCCAACTCTGAGCCAACAAACATAAGCAATGAACAGAACCTAAACCTTGAGGCACACTCTGAAGAAACATAGACAACCAAAATGCGGTTCTAGAAGCACCTTAACCAGCAAACAGAGAAAGCGGACAAGAACGTAGGGAAAGCAACACAGCAAAGAACCAACGATCAAGTAGCCTTACCATAAGCAGAGACGACAGCGATGCCAAGAAAATAATAAAATGACCAACGAGTCCAAACCAAGCTCTGCAACCAAACAAACGCATATACCACTACAATCGCTTGGGGTAAAAACTAGCACATCTCTTTGACCAAAAGAACCCTAACTCACACAAGTCATACATAACACAATACTATAATCTCCACAACTATAACGCAAAAGAGTCAATGAGATCAAACCCAAAGCTAAAGATGAATCAACTAATCCGATGAGCCAAAGCATAAGAAATTCAATGCTCACAGCACCATCAAACCACCACCCAACAAACCAGAGGACCGAAGAGAGACAAACTAAACCACACAAGCCAGACTTCAACAAATACACACGGCTCACCTCTCATCCCATAACAAGAAGACCGAGGCGAGACCAATTGCAAACCGAGATCACGAACCCAGCCAAACCGGCTAACACATATCTAACCAGACCCGTTCTCGACCAAACCCCGCAACAACGACTCCTCACACAAAACCAATCCCCAACCAAATCGAAATCACCAAAAACCTTGTAGATCTCATGAATCCACATCTAGCCATAGAAACCCTCTAATAAGCTAATACAAACCAAATGAGAAATCAAAACAGCAAAAAGGAAGGGTCCGGTACCGACGCTATGGAAGCCGCCGGCCACCAGACCAAGATCGGAGAATTTTTTGAAAGGGGTACTGTAGCAAGCAGCGGCGGCTTAGAGTTCTTTATCTAGAGTTTTTTTTTTAAATAGCTTCCACCCAATGACTGGATCAGTTTCTAGTTTTTTTTTTATAAAAAGTTAGTGTGTGTTACGAAACAATAAATTGTATGGGAGAAAAGTGTGTGTTACGAAACAATAAATTGTGTGGGAGAACCGATATTCATCACCAAAGGTAATTTAACAACACAGAAATGGATCATCATTCCATTGGCCATACATGACAAGGACAAGTTATGTTTATACTCCCTGTATCATATTAATTGATCTTTTAGAGAAAAATTTTTGTATTAAATTAGTTGATTTTTTTATTTTTCTAGGTAAAGATTTATTGATTTTTAGCTTTTGTGACTATTTAAATTATGCAGTATTTTTTGTAATTAGTTGAATGATTTATTCTAGGTAAAGATTTAATGATTTTTTCAGTATTTATTGGGTTTCTTAATTATTGTGCCATTACCTTAAAAATCATGTATTGTGGTACGGAGGGAGTATGTTTCTGTTTGTAAATTAAGTTTCTACTCGTCAGTGGGAAGTTATTTTGGTTAAATTAAGATCCTTGCAAAACCGACGACATGCTTGAATAACCAAATCACTCCACATAGGAGGATATATTGGTTTTGATAACTCCAACATCTTCAGTCCTTCAAAAGGGGGTTTTGATTACACAAAACACTCCATAAAGAAGTACACAAGACAAATGGTGAACGAGAACCTTGAAATACACAAAAATGTTAGTGAATGAAACCTCAAAGAAAGAGAATCGACCAAAAGCAATAAGCTTAATGTCAACAATAAAGCTTGAATTCTCCACAAGTGAGAACCGAATCCCTGGTTCACAACAGTGATGGTTTCGTGCAATGTTTTTTGTTCATCTCTCTAGAAAACAATACCCGATGAACAATAGAACAAACTGAAAATGCAAAGTAACAACCTCATATTGAAGTAATAAACGGCTAAAAGAAAGCCTAAGAGCCTCAAACTGAGGTAATTTGAACCTCATATTGAGGTAAGTAAAACCTAAAGAAAGGTAATCTTTTAGCAAAAGATGTTTTGGGAAAAGGAACCTCACCGATGATACACGTTCAAAGCTTTTCTAAGAACAAGGGAGAGAGGCGAGGCCATGTTTGTTGTTCGGGACAGACCACAGAGGAGAGGAGGAGATTTAAACCAATGATCATAGCAAAGGGAGACGATGGCAGATCTGGCGGGTCCGGCGGAACTGGAGGTTCCGGTGGAAGAAGAAGGAGCTCCGACGGGACCATATCTATCGAGTGAGATGGCATAACTACAGGGTCTGGTGGCTTCGACAAAGTTGAAACCACCGAGCGTGAAGAAGGCCTCATCGGAGACAAGGAAGCAGTACGGTCCTGGAGATCTTCTCTCCTAAAGTCAGCCTTCTGCGAGCTCGAGCCCAATGGAGGAGAAAAGAGTACCTCTTTGACTGAGACGTCTCCGGAGAGATAGGGGGTGATCGGAGTTTCAAATTTGGCCAGGTGGTTTGAGGCAGAGTTGTTTTACGGAGAGGGGGATGGTGAGAAAGCTTCGGAGGAGAAGGTTTTAAAGGGGGTAGATTTTTCTTGGCCATTGGTGCAGAGCCGGCGAAGGAGGCCAGGGCCGACGCCGGTGATGGAGGACGTGGAGCTCGAGGCAAATCGCCGTTTTGAGAAAAAAAAATCCATTTTTTTTTAAAATCGCCATCTTTCTTTCACAAAAAAGGAAAAAAAAATTGTCCTCTTATAGTTATATTTTAAAGATGATTGTGATGGTATGTTGTAGTTTTGCTTAGAATCGATTTGGCTTTGCGTATGATCCAAATTCGTTTATTTTTTACGTAAAACACATTTTAGTTTGAAATATATAGGTTTTAATTTTGTGTTATGCTCCAACAAAAATTTAGCTTGTTTATAAATTTAGATTTATTCATTCCAACTGAATTTAATCAGATATAAGAGCATCGTTATCGGTAATGTTTCACAAAGTTTTTAAGTATTAAAAAAATAAAAAGTATTAAAAAGCACTAGAACCCATGAAACTGAGTATCAAAAGTATCTAATAGAAGAGACGATATCAAGTTTTTGTGAGACTGAGTTGCTAGATGTAGTAATAGGATTGGTAAGTAATTTTTT